CTGGTGTTGTAGCTTTTCTTGATGTTCAGAAAACAAAATAAGAGATTTACTACACAGGTTCCAGGTCTTCAGATTTTTACTGGGGGCGGTAAAAAAGGTAAAAGTAAAATGACACTGAACCAAGGGTGACTGGATGTGTTCATCAGAATTTGCATAGAATTTTTCTTCAAAAAAAAGATAAAATATACTATCTGACAATCTAAAGCAGAAAACCTGTCATCTAAAAACCACAAGGGACGAAGTTCTCCTTAGGTCTTCTTCACACACAAAATTCTACTGAAACTGTTTGCTAACTGAATTTTAGGTATCAGTTTTGTAATAATCTTAAGAAAAAAAGTCTAAAAATTACACTGAACATATAGCTGAGTTTAAATTACTAACAGAAGTGAAATCACCTGATTTCTAGTCAAATCTATTTTTCCTTAGTCATGAGCCATTCAGAAAAATATATATGGACTTCCTTTTTCGTTTACTCAGCTCTTTCTTCTAAGTGCCAATTGAATGTCAAGATTTTTTGCTTGCCCACTTGGCCAACTGAAGTGACAACCAATCAAATATTTAATGAACAGCCTGTGCTTAGCAAGTTTAATCACAAGAGAATGCTTACACTGGGGCAAATAATTCAGTACGCAAAATAACACAGATAGATTCTATCTTCATATTTCAACTCACTTTTTAAAGCTTCCTATTTACAGCAACCATTTGAGGAACAGGAAAAATAAAACGGGTACTTAATATTCTACAGCAACTTACAGCCAGGGCAGACACCACCGGTCACCTCCCTCCAGCTGTTCCCACCTTCAACCTAACAGAAACTCCGCCGATCAGATACCAGAAGCCTGTGTGCTCCATGGTTCCCTTCCTAACCCCATGGAAGCATATACTGATTAATCTAAGAAGATTGTTCACCACAAGAAGCACATGTGCTCCATGGCTGCCTCCCTAGTCCCAGGGACATGTGTGCTGATTAATCGAAGTAGACTGATCAGACACCGGAAACACGTGTGCTCCGTGGTTCCCTCCCTAGTCCCAGGAGCATGTGATGATTAATATACGCAGACTTCAAAACTGAAAGCCTGTATTCTCCGTGGTCCCGTCCCTCATCCCAGGGATGCATGTGCTGATTAATCTAAGTGGGTTGTTCAACACCAGAAACATATGTACTCCCTAGCCCCTTCCTCCTCCCAGGACACACATGTGATTAGCCTAAGCCGTCCTCAAGGCCCAGGCCTGGGCCAGCAGCATCAGTATCTCCTGGGCACAGGTTAGACCAGCTCTGCTCAGGCCCCCACTCCAGGCCTATGGAACTGGGGACTCTGGGGTGGGCCTCGCAACCTGTGTTCTGGCAAACCCTTCATCAGCCTGGGATGCACGCTCACATGGAGAACCCCTGGTCTAAACCAATGGCAATTCTTTTCCTCTTGCCAAATACAGGATTAGGCTGGTAACTTGGTGTGACCAATGAGGCCTGAGAGAGTTCTCCGGAACGCTTCCAGGAATGCTTTACTCGTTCACATAAAGAACAGAATGAGAGGAAATACACCCACCCCCGCATTTTTGGTTCTGACATTGTCATGTCTTCATGTGACAGATACTTGGGATGGCAGCAGCACTCTTTTAACCATTAGGTGACAAACTCAAAGACCACGCCAACAAGCCAAGGATAAAGGAGGGGCAAGACTGAAAGAGCCTAGGTTCCTGGGGACCTTGGTGGACCCAACAATCCTAAAAATACCCAATCTCCAGATTCCTTATTAAATAACATCTTTTTAAAAACCCATGTGTATAAGCTATTTCAGTTGGCCTTCTGTTAACTTGCAATCCTGACTGTAACATATTTGTTTCTTTAGTCAAGACTCAAACAAAATAAACAACATAATCTTATTCTTTTCATAATTTACACTATAGGTATATATAGTTTTGTATATGCTTTTATAATATTTTATAATTTTATATCTTACAATGTAATCATGTATTGTAATATTCAATAATATTGTAAGGAAAAGGTTAGATCACTGACACGATCCTGTCCAATCTCATGAGTAATACTCTTAGTTTAAGCATTTGAGGGCTCCTAGCAAGGCCTTTGTGACAAACGTTCACCTTTAAATGAGTTCCATCAATAAGGGAGTTTTATGTGATGGCAATATTTACTGTTATGCAACTGATTTGTCAATTGCTAAGCAACGACCCACAAATATTTCAAAAAAGGGCAACACATCAGTAGTGCCAGCTGAAAGGCTGAATGCTCAGTGCTCGGTGTTTGCGCCTGCCAACTCCCCATCATATGTAACAGGAGAAGGCTGGCGTTCTGTGGGTAAACTCTCTGAACCCAAGGCCTCAGACTCACTGGCTGACTTAATTTCTTCCCCATGCAAAAGTCAGAAGGTACAAAATGCAAAACAACTGACTGGTATTTCCACCATCCACTGGAACATCGGTTAAACTAAGACAAAAAGGGAGAGGTGAGCTGGTGGGGGGGGGCACAGATCATTAAACTACAAAGCAGATCTAAAAAACTACCATCCTGAGAATCACAAGTAATTGACAGTTGACTTGGAAAGGCAAAGGTGCCCTCGCACTCTCACTGCCACTACTACTAAAGGTACACAAAAATCCAAAGACAAGGTCTTGCTCTGTCACCTAGGTTGGGGTGCAGTGGTGTGATCATACCTCACTGCGGCCTTGAACTCCTAGCCTCAAGTGATCCTCCTACTTCAGCCTCCCAAAGTACCGGGATTACAAGTGTAAAGCACTGGGTCCAGCCAAGAATATTTTTAATATATTTCAAAGCTTCTTAAACACTAGATGTCAAAAAGCTTTACGATGGGAAAAAGAGACCAGGACTACCAATACCTAGCAACATCTGTGCCAACATGACCACAGAGGCTGACAACCAATGTCAGAACAACAGCAACACCCATATGGGTAAAATCCTCTTATAATAAATACAATACAAGGGAAGACCCAAAAACCTAGAATTATTTTTTGGAGGGCGGGCTCCTCGGAGTACAGGCTACCACCATAGGTAAGTGCTCTAGGAGTCTACTGGCATCATTGACTAGCTAGCATTGTTGAGAGAGGCTTGGCTCAGTTCCAGTGACTTTTTTTTTTTGGAGATTCTTTCAACATGTTTACCTCTTTCATGATGGGTGATTTACTCATATAACCTGTCTATACTGTGCTGAGTGTTCAGTAGTTTTGGACCAAAAACAGCATGACCCCTGTGCCCCACCCTTCCTATTCACCTGATCTCACCCTCAGGGGCTTTTTTTGTTTCCTTGGATGAAAAAGTCCTCAGAGGGAAACAATTTGCTGATGTGGAAGGGGTGAAACAAAAAACAGCAGAAGCACTAAAAGGTATCAGAGATGACAAGTTAAAAAATGTTTTGAGCAGTGGAAAAAGCTTCTTGATGGGTGTATTATATCAAACATAGTACTTTGAAGGTGACTGAAGTTTAAACACGTAAGAATACACAACTTTTTATAAATAAACTGCAGGTTTTTTGGATCCACCTTTATATAACCACACTCATTGGCTGTTTCTTTACTTCATTTCCTCTAATTAAGATAATACTAAAACCTTATGCCCAAGCTGCAGAGCTCAGATATCACAGGGGTGATGAATGACTGTTATGCAATGAGCCTGTTTATCTATGCCAGGCTCCACTTCAAAAAGAGGATTTGAGGCTGAAATGTGGTAAACTGGCAGCGCAAACTCAACGAGGTGGACAGGGAAATGATATGCTTACACAGTATTTCCATTCCTGTTCTCCTGGCTAGCTTCTAAATTTGGGGAGATCCTTTACTTTAAAGGCCAATTTAAAGATGAGGTGAAGTAAGAGAACTGGTCTGTTTAAGACAAGCTGGAAGGGGAGACTGGAAGAAGCACTGCCATCTGAAGACAGAACCAAGGCATGTAGGGAACATGGGCAGCTCCACAGGGCAGGTGTTCTGTCTACCAGCAATGCAGACAGCACAGTCAAGCTCTTTAGCTGCAGAGTAACTGGCAAAGGAGGAAAACAGCAATTCTACTTTTAGAAACTTACTCTAAGCAAAAAATTAGGGATGCGCACAAAGATGAGCTTGAGGATGTTCACTGCATACTGTAGAATGGGACCAGGAGTGGTGGCTCACGCCTGTCATCCCAGCACTTTGGGAGGCTGAGGCGAGAGGACTGCGTGAGCCCAGCGAATAGAGACGAGCCCGAGCAGCATGGCAAGACCTTATGCCTACAATCGATAAAAAAAAATTAGCCAGGTGTAGTGGCACATGCCAGTAATCCCAGCTTCTCAGGAGGTTGAGGCAGAAGGATAGTCTGAGCCCAGCAGGTGGAGGCTATGGTGGCCATGATTGTGCCACAGTACTGGGGGACAGAGTGAGACTCCAACTACCAAAAAAAAGACTGCAGAACAGAGGATTGGTCGAATATATTACACTGCAGCTATTCAGGGGCATACCAATAAGGTAATAAAAAATAATGATGAATCTATGTATTTAATGACATGCAAAGATGTCATCGCGTATTATACCTACATGATGTCACTACATTTATATTATACCTATGCATAGATAGAATTCAAAAAGTACATAGAATCAATTATGGTGAGATCACGGATTTTTTTCCATTTCCTGTTTTTGTTTAACTATAGTCTCTAATTTTGCTTTTCTATGATAAACATCTATCAGTTTTACCAGAAGAAAGAAAACTACTGAAATGTTTAATGGGCAGAGTACAGAAGGTTCTTGATATTTTGGGACATCCATTGTATAGCATTTACTGAAAAAGGAAAGGAACAGAGTACCCGGTCCTGTTCTACAGTCTTGCAGTGAAGAGGTCATTAACAGGTCATTTTAGTAACACAAAATAGCTTTGTTATGCAAAGTTGTTGTTTATAATAGTACTACAACCACTGGAACTTAACCTATAGAAAATCTACGTAAGTAAAATCTATGTAAGTACTCGAATCTATTGACATGAGAGAATAAGCGATACTTACGGTTGTGTGAAGTCACGAGTGATGAAGTCAGAACTCTTGAAAAGTAGAAAGATGTCACTGAGAGTCTTACATTTCAGAGAGCTATTCATCGCTATCCAGTATGCATCCTAAGGAATAAAGCACATGCTACTCAGTACAATTCCATACTCCATCTCTGCTGCTACGAATGCTCAGGCCTACAGACAAAATCAATCATGTACATCACTTCAAGGGCTTAAAGAAAAAAGCCAAGTAAATTTTAGCAGTCCTGTCAAACGTTAAATTACATTTCTCAACAACAAAGCACATCACCACTGCATCTGAGACACGCAGCTGTGAACACTGAGCTGCTGCGGTCCTCACATGTCGACCCGAGCCTGGGCACTTCCCCGTGTTTTTCTTACTGAGGATGGGAGAGGGACGAATGAGGTACCAGCAGTACTGACGCTTCAGCTACAAGATTAAGGTGGCAGAGAAATGGCCCGACCGGCTGCTTTCCAGGAAAAAAAAAGGTCGCTTCTGTCCCTCCTGTTTCTGGGGTTCGACAGCCAAACACCTGAACTTGGATGGCTAGGCGGGTAAACCCCAAGTCTCTCAAAGCTGGGAGAGAGGGAGGTGAGTTACTCTGAACCATCACAACTTTAAATGGCAAATGTCTCACACATATGAACAGATGACAGGACCATAAGCAGGCAAAGTAGGCACAAAACTTAGTGGAACTAAGACTAAAAATGGTAAGATAATTAAGTCATTTAAGAAACATATCTCCCCTACAGATACAGATACAGACACAGGGCAGTAATATAATGTTGAGAAAATTAATGATTGCAAAAAACCTATCATTCACACTATGTGGAAGAAAGCACTGGCACACAGTAGGCACTCAATAAATAACAAATAAAATGAACAATGGAATAATTTGAAATCACAAATAATCTACCCATCTTAAGTGGAAAGCCTCAACCCAGTTCAGGAGCAAGGAATAATTAAAAATAATGCTCATATACAGATGAAAGGTCGACTATGAGGAACTAGAAATGGTTCAATAACTTCTTTAGAGTAACTTCTTTATAATAACTTCTTTGTAATTCATCCCAATGAAAAAGATGGTGAAATTCCAGCGAAAGATGGTGTATTGAACACACAGATTTAACTCCACTGAACAGTATGTACATAGTAAGCCATGCAGCTGAACAAATAAGGCAATTATTAACCCAAGGGAAAACAAAATGCTGAGTGAGAAGGTGTAAGTAATCCAGTTGTGTACATAGTGTTTGCATAAATCACAGCAGTTGGAAATGCTGAATACTAATCTAACCAAAATTTGACTAGTTATCATGAAACTAGTGGAAGAGAACACAGAAGGGACAGGAGATGAAGGGGTAAGAAGTCATAATAAATACCTAAAATGGAAAAGTAAAAAAAAAACAACAAGAAGTAACGAAAGAATGTCCAAGAATATTTGAAAGCAGTTGCCTTTGGGGAGTAGGTGATGACGTGAAATAAGTGTCAGGACATGCTGATTGCTATAGCAAGCTTCTAGTTCTAGCTGAAACTGCTAACTCTCTATAATTTTTTTTTTTTGAGTTGGAGTCTCACTCTGTTGCCCAGGCTGGAGTGCAGTGGCATGCTCATGGGATCTGCTGGGCTGCAGAGATCCTTCTGCCTCAGTCTTCCAAGTAGCTGGAACTACAGGTGTGTGCTACCACGCCTGGCTAATTTTTTGTTTTTATTGTAGAGACAAAGTCTAGCCAAGTTGAGGTACAGTATAATTTTTAAGAGTAAACATAAACATTAGATTAATACAAGTTAGCATTCACTTGAGAATAAAAAAGAAAGGCATATGAGATGATTTTTGAAAATGCAAATAAGGCTAGGCATGGTGGCTCACACCTATAATCCCAGCACTTTGGGAGGCTGAGGCCCAGGAGTTCAAAACCAGCCTGGGCAACATAGGGAAACCTTGTCCTTTAAAAAAAAAAAAAAAAGGCAAGTAAATCTTTGATTCCTCAATTGAGCTATGCTGACATAAAATTATTTTCTATTATGCTAGAAAAAAACATTGATAATTTTCCCACAGGTCTTAACTTTCTCAAAAATCATGTAAAGGCAGTGTTAAAATAATAAGACACAATTTAAGAAATATCAGTTGATTTCTCTAACTGCACTATTTCTAGTCTGTAACATTTTTATTATTTTTCAACAGAGAAAAATTTCTCTGTTAAGCTGCATGGCTGAAGTTTTGAAAAGGGCCAAGTGTGAATTTCCTCAAAATTCTAGCACAATCATCAACACAAGTGGTTGAAACTATCTTCCACCAAAATATATAATATTTTTAGACCCAGGGAAGTATATAGCAAAATGAGGAAAATAAAATAATAGTAATAATAATAAATTCTACAGTATTTTTCCTAGAATGAGGAATATAATAAGACCCTTTGTGGCGATATAAAATGAAATAAATAGCAAAATGAAGAATGTTTAAGGAAGAGATTCTTTTGTATTCCTACCCTTGGGGCGCTCCAGTTAAGCTTAGGAAAGACACTGCCCCCCAGGGAATTGATAGCTTCCTGGACTTTAGTGGTGAACTCAGGAAATTCTGGTGCCTACAGAGAGAAAAAAGAAACCATTTGGGCAAGTCAGTATCATCACAGTGAATATGGAAAACAAGATCAAAATCTCAAGGTTATAGTTTAGGATGTCAAAAACAAAATTTAGACGATAAATTACTATCAGACTCTCTGGACCCAGTTGCATAAAATCAGTGATTAAGTACATTTACCCGAAAGAGAAATAAACTAACCAGCTGCTCAAATGGCCCTCTTCAAACAATCAAAACCCCCAGAGCTAAAACGACAGATGTCACTAGGCTTCCAGGAACGTGATGCAGGAGTGAATGGTTCCCGATATGTCTCCATAAAACCAGCATTCATCAAGTGAAAGAGACAGGTGCGATCTCACCTACTTGTATGCTACAGTTCTCAGAAATAACACCCCCCACTTGAAGGCCCAGAGCCTCTTCACATCCAGGAAGAATCGAGGACATATAGTATCCTCAAAAGGATTCATGAGCGCAAAAAGTAAATGGTGTGACAAGCTGTACTTAAACACTGCTATATCCAGATGAGTTATAGTATAAACAAAGTTCAAATATAGAGCCTCGGCCATATTAAAATGTTCTTTCTTTTTGGCTGATTTTTTAAAATGCATAGTTTGTCTGGGTGCAGTGGCTCACACTTTGGGAGCCCAGCACTTTGGGAGCCCAGGAGCTCGAGACTAGCCTAGGCAACACTGCAAAACCTCGTCTCTACAAAAAGTAAAAAAACAAAACAAAGTAGCTGGGCATGGTGGCGTGCACCTGTAGTCCCAGCTACTCGGGATGCTGAGTGAAGGACTGCCTGAGCCCAGGAGGTTGAGGCTGCCATGGGATGTGAACATCATGATCATGCCACTGCACTTCATCCTGGGTGACAGAGTGAGACCCCAACTCAAAAAAAACCAAAAGCCTATTTGATATAAGCAAGGGATCAAAACATTCTGCGTGTTTGTTCCAACCAGGAAGTTAACAGAAGTACTGCTGTCACGCAGGAATGTAAGCGTGATGCCATGACGCCCGACCTGGGCTTTTGGGTCACTATCGAAGGCACCCAGGGAGCTAAGCCAGCCACGGAAAGTGGAGTCTTCAAGAGACAGCCCTCCATCCTCCTCATCTACACAGGGGACTGCTGCCCTCTACCGGGCAACTGCAGGCTCTCAACTTCTTCCACAGCAACTTTCCACAGCAAAGAAAAAGAGAGACTAGATCTAGAATTAATGAGACTACACGTTCCAAAATTAAATCAAATGCTTTATCCAGATTCCCAAGATCTAACCCAGTTATCAGAGAGAAAAAACTGTGACAAGAATCTGGGACACAGGCTGGGCATGCTGGCTCACTTTGGGAGACCGAGGTGGGAGGATTACTTGAGCCCAGGAGTTTGAGGCCAGCTGAGGCAACATAGTGAGACCTCATCTCTACAAAATAATCAAAAAATTAGCCAGGCTTGGTGGCACACCTCTAGTCCCAGCTACTCAGGAGGCTGAGGTGAGAGGATCGCCTGAGTCCAGGAAGTTGAGGCTGAGGTGAGCTGTAATTGTGCCACTGCAGTCCAGTGTGGGAAACAGAGACTCTGAGTCAAAAAAAAAAAAAAAAGGTAATAGAACCCCAAAACTATAAACAGCTTTACACAAAAGGCTAGGGAGTAAAGAAGACAGCACGGAAGACCCAGTCAGATCACCTCTTTCAGATCACCTAAGGTAAGTCTGACTTCTAGACTTGGGACAACAGGATCTTTTATTTTTGTGTGTCGGAGTCTCATTCTGTCACCCAGGCTGGTGTGCAGTGGCACGAACATAGCTGCTGCCGCCTCAGCCTGCTGGGCTCAGGCGATCCTTCTGCCTCAGCCTCCCAAGTAGCTGGAACCACAGGCATGTGCCACCACACCCAGCTAATTTTTTGATTTATTGGAGACAAAGTCTCGCCAAGTTGCCCAGGCTGGTCTTGAACCCCTGGGTTCAGGCAATCCTCTTGCCTCAGCCTCCCAAAGTGCTGGGATGACAAGTGTGAGTCACTGCACCTGGTCAACAGGATCTTTTAATTATTTGATAGGCTGCCACTGTATCTCTCATTAGACTCCTTGGCTTAATTACATGAAATTAAACTAGAGTGCTTTAGAGAGGCTTTCAAAATGAGTAACAGCATTAAAGTTTTCTTTAATTTTCAATGTAATTCCCCCAATCAAAAGGAATTGTGATTATGTTAAGCCGATCATGTCCTTATAATCGCCTGAAGCCACTGATGTGGCTTCCCTAGAGCTGTATTCATCACCACCACTCATCTAAGATCTGCACTGGCAAGACTTCCTATAAACAGCAGAGGCACACACATCTTACAACACGAAGGAGTTTAGCCTTTAAAGACACACCGCTTTAGCTTTCCCATCCCATAAAACTTGACATTTAAGGATTGCTTCGTATTTATGTATTGGTTGTGACTGGTTCCTTCAAATCCTCAAAATTATCCAGCTTTAGGAAATCCTGCCATAAGGATCTAAAACATTCAGTAGGTCACCCTTCTAGGTGATCTGATTCTAGCTAGGTCTGTGAGCCACTTTATAACTCGACAAACCGTACGTAAGTAATGGCAATGTGAACTAATCCTGTCTGGAAGAGGCCAGCTGTCTTCTCTCCCACTCCAGAGGGAGGCAAAACCAACTCTGCTTCCTTCACGTGCTCATTTCAATATTCCTGATCTATAAATATATTTTCTTGGGATTCTCTTTTCAACCAGTTCTAACATGTGTCTTGTTCCCTCATGAGTTAAATAAAATATTCCACGTGTTAAAATGTTTTATATCTGTATGGGAGTCATGATTTTACTATTTTCTGGAAAGTATATAAACAGATTTAACTAACAAGTCTTGTTTGTTTTAAGCTCAAAGCTCAGCGAGCCAATCTGAAATATGCAGAACACACCAGCTGCCTGGGAAAAGTTCCCCCTGTCTGCAGACTCAAGTTCACACTTTAATCTGTATCTGTGGACTTTCTGTGGTCAGGACTCCCTGCTCATCTTCCCAACCTCACCCACACAGCACCCGTGTGCCACACTCATTCAGAATGGGAAGGCTTCTTTCTTGTTTTTTCATCTTTTTTTTTAGAATTATGAAGTTTCATACATGTCTCTTACATTTCTCAAGGGAAAAAACCATTAGCTAGAATGCCCATCGGGCAGCCAGAGTCACAAAACTGGAGTGTATTCTTCTATATTCTTAATTTTATACTTATGATACCTGGGTCTCCCCATAAAATATGACATTAAAAAATTGAACATAAGCTGGGCATGGTGGCTCATGCCTATAATCCCAGCACTTTGGGAGGTTGAGGTGAGAGGATTGCCTGAATCCAGGGGTTCAAGACCAGCCTGGACAACTTGGCGAGACCTCATCTTTACAATAAATAAAAAAATTAGCTGGGCACAGTGGTACGTGCCTGTGATTCCAGCTACTTGGAAGACTGAGGCGGAAGGATCGCCAGAGCCCAGCAGGTCAAGGTTGCAGTGGCACAGCAGTGGCCGTGAGTGTGCCACTGCACGCCAGTCTGGGCAACCGAGTGAGACTGACAAAAAAAAAAAGCAACAACCCATAAGTGCTGTCATAGTAATGTACACTTCCAGCAACTAACTTTTTTAAATTCACCATCATGTCTTAAAAACTGACCCATCTCAATTACTGTTTCCATTTTTAACTGACTGCTTTGAGCTTCCACAAGGGACAATGCCCCGTTGGTCAACACGCTGGGTCTTGCTACCCACAGGTCCTGGCTGACTTCCATCCTCTTCTAAGTGCTCCTCTGCCATGAACGTTCCCACTGCTCAACTCCATCTCGCTCCACCCCGGGAAACCCAACCACTTCTTAAATTTATTAATGTTTCATTTCTAAACAGTTTCAGACTCTCAGAAACAGAGGAGAGTACCCGAGATTCTTGCACACGCTTCCTCCAGACTTCCCATCCCACTCCATCTGCTCCGTCTTCCCCAGCCCTCCTCTCTGCATCCGTGTGTGCGTGTTCTTTCTGTTCATGTGGATACCTGTCACACACATTTCTTTCCTAAACTATTTTCGTAAGCTGTGGCCACCATGTCCCTTTACCACTAAATACTTCAATGTATATTTCTGAAAATATTCTCCTATATATTCAACATTCTACTACATAACACTGTAAAACTATCAAAACCAGGGAACTAACACTGATGTAACACCATTACCTAATTACCATTACCTAATTAGATCTTATTCAAAATTTGCCAATTGTTCTTACAATGTCTTTTTTTGAGTTGGAGTCTCACTCTGTCGCCCAGGCTGGAATACACAGGCACGTTCACGGCCACCGCAGCCTCGACCTGCTGGGTTCAGGCAATCCTTCTGATTCAGCCTTCCAAGTAGCTGGAACTACAGGCACGTGCTACGTCTGGCTGATTTTTTGATTTACTGTAGAGACGCGGTCTTGCCAAGCTGTCCAGGCTTAGCCTCCCAAAGTGCTTGGATGACAGGCTGGAGCCACCGTGCCCAGCCTTATAATGTCATTTGTAGCAAAAACATCTGTGTGTGTATATATATATATACATATACACCTTTTTTTGATCCAGGCAACCAGTCTGGAATTGGGCACTGCATCTAGCTGTCGCATCCCTGTCAATCGCCTTTAACCTGGACACTTCCTCTCTTTGATCTCATCATTATGACCCTGGCAGTTTTGAAGCATGCAGGGCAGTTATTCCATGTCATTTCCAAAAATTGGGGTTTGTTGGGAGTTTCCTGGTGAGGAGACTCAAGCTGTGCAGGGGATGAATCCTTCCTGTGCATTACATCAGGAGGCACACATGACAGTCTGTCCCATCGATAATAAGGTTAATCTGGATATTTGGCTGCCAGCTCTTTCCACTGTAGCATAACTATTGTTCTCTTTATAATTAGTGATTCAGGTGAAGGTACTTTGAGAATATGCAAATATCCTCCCTCTCATAAATTTAACTCATTACTTTAAACAACTATTTAATCAATTATTGCTATTATAGTTGCCCAATGGTAATTTCTAATTTAATCATTCCTTCTGTATTTATTAGATAGTGCCTTTACTACTACAAAGAAAAACTTGGGCCAGGCACAGTGACTCATGCCTGCAATCCCAGCACTTTGAGAGGCTGAGGCGAGAGGACTGCCTGAGCACAGGGGTCTGAGACCAGCCTGGACAACTTGGTGAGAGCGAGAGCTTGTCTGTACAATGAATCCAAAAAATTAGCCAGGAGTGATGGCACACACCTGTAGTACCAGCTACTTGGAAGACTGAGGCAAAAGGATTGCCTGAGCCCAGCAGGTCGAGTCTGCGGTGGCCATGAGCATGCCACTGCACTCCAGCCTGGGTGACAGAGTGAAACTCCAATTCAAAAAAAAAAAAAGAAAAGAAAAGAAGAGAAGTTTTTCCTTGTCCCTATGTATTTAATCTCATCACTTATTTATGTTGCTGTGGGGGTCACGGATTATTTTAGTCAATGGATCACAACTTCTTATATGTTGAGTATCCCTTATGGAAGATACCTGGGACCAGAAGTGTTTCGAATGAGTATTTGCATATACATAATGAGATATCTTAGGGATGGGACCCAAATCTAAACACAAAATTCATTTATGTTTCACATACACCTTAAGCATGTAGCCTGAGGTAATTTTATTTTTTCCCTTGGGGTTGCTGAACAAACTGTTTTGTATACCTGAATTTTGAATGTGGCCTGTCACATGAGGTCAGGCATGGAATTTTCTACTTATGGCATCATGGTGGTGCTCAAAAGTTTTAGGAGCCCACTATGATAGCCCAAGTCTATAGTACTAGCCACTCAGAGGGCTGAGGAGGGAGGATCACTTGAGCCCTGGAGTTTGAATCCAGCCTGGGCAAAAAAAGAAAATTTGGATTTTGTAGGATTTTGAATTTCAGATCTTTGGGTTAGGAATACTCAACCTATATGGGTTATGAGGCTCAAATTTTTAGCTAGTGGGAGCCCATTCAAGCTATCTTCTGGCATCTTTTTGTTACAACCCATCATTCTTTGAGCACATCCATAGTTTGTGGCTTAACAAGGTGTCACAGGCTCAATTTTACTTCATAAGCCCAGTCCTGAATTTCTCTGAGAAGCTTCAATTCCTCTTAGTGGAGAATGGTATTTGGAAGCCAAGGTCAGGGCATTGGGTGTGCTCGCTGCTCCCATGATGTCTCACGTCACTGCTTTTAAACTTTCTTAGTGAACAGAGTTTGGTAAACACACATGCACACAAACACCCCTTTCTGCTATTCATTTCTATATCTGTCCATCTATATAGATTTGAGGACGTGAGTTGATACCAATAATCCTTACCACTTTCAGGTTCAGGTCAAGTGCCGCTTGTCCTTTCAGGCATTTCTGTTCTCGCTGTTCTCACAGCACTGTCATCTAACCCGTACCTGTCCCCTGGTTTACAAACTCCTGATGGCAGGAATCAAATCCTATTCATCTTTGTCCATCTGTTTGGCGCATCTCCACTTTTTTTCCTTATATCCTAGAAACCCTATCTCTTTCAATAAATATGCAGAAGTATCTTCTTATTTAGAGTTTTATTAGAATATACTTCTCTCTGAAACTAGATTCTGTCATTAAATTTACTTGTAAGGAATTTTATTAAAAGTTTTTTTCTTTTTTAACTCAAGGTATAAGGAATTTCACTTACCTATTTCTAGAGTACATTTTTTTTGCTTCACTCATTCCTCTAAAAAATCTCTATTAAAAAAAAATTTAAGTTGAATTTCACAACAGCACTCTTACCCTGAAAGATCATAATATGCTTGATCAGCTTCACATTTTTATATAAAACATTGGTTAATGTCACATACTTCTCTACCCTAACTTAAAGAAACTACCATTTTTATGCCACCTAAATATACCTGAATGAGTAAATGCAGATGTTCACTTTAATTTAGGTTCACAGATCTGGGAACCTCAAGGTACAATGTTAGGCTGGACTCCTTCTTGTAGAGCTTAAAAGAAATAAGTCAAAGCATCAAATCTCACCTAAAACATTTCCTTTGTAATCAAAGGTAACAGAGAACAAACTATGTTTGCCTGTTAAAAATTATCTGAGCCATTTTTCAAAATAATAAAGAACAGCCCACAGAGAAGTTGGCATTAGAAACGGTGAGTGTGTGGCAATTGAGAGAGGCGTGCATTTCAGCCCTGACGCTACCCTTGTGCAACAGTGTGAGGCTGTCCCCAGGCTGGTGTTGCTTTGAGCTTACCGTGAGCGTGGCTGTGTTCTCATCATCGGACCACTGCACAGAAAAGAGGACAGAAACAAAACATTACATTTAAATACTGGGCTTCCAAAAAGCAGGGCTCCATCTAAAAATTATACACAAATAGGAGACGTCTTTTCCTGAACACAAAGAATATGTAGAAATACATGTGAGAGATGATGTAATTCCTCACTTTATCAAATGGAGCCTAAGATCTAAATGTCAGAACCATTTCAGAAATCACTTAAACTACGACAGTTTACTGAACCTCGGGTTCGTCACTTTCTTTAACACCAACCTGTATTTCTTCAGCTTCGTCATCACTGTCTGGCTGAGAGCGTGCTGGGGGATCTTCCCTAAAAAAACATAAACAAAGCTTAAGCTAGAAAAAGACTTGGGTACCACACAGTCATAATTTCATATGTACTAAGCTTATCATTATTTTTAGTTAAGAAAGATAGATTTATTAAAGAGAAGACACATTGTGAAGGGCACAGTAGGCAGGACAGCAACAGGAGTGTCTGCTGTCTGCTGCCTGTACTAAGCTTATTAAAAAAAAAGTCTCAGAATTGGAAAGCAGTGGCCCTTGGCAGGCATCTGACTTTACCACTCTTCCTATCAAGAAATGGCATTTATTTTCCCATCCCTTTCACTTAGAGTGGCTTCGAGACTCATTCTGACCAACAGAACACAGCACAAATGACGCCATGAGATTATGAACCCAGGTGTCCTCTCTCGCCCTTTTGGAATGCTGGCAGCACTGCGTAAAGCAGCTAAGGCTACCTTCCTGAGGATGAGGGGTCGCGTGGAAAGAGGCCCAGCTGACAGTCAGCAACAACTGCCGGACATGAATGAGGCCATCTTAAGACTATCCAGCTCAGTCAGGCCATTGGAGGACGACAGTCCCATAAGTGACTTTAGCAAGACCAACATAAGACCTGCCCGGTGTCAAGAATTGGATGACCCGGCAGGGCGTAGTAGCTCCCACTTATAATCCCAGGACTTTAGGAAGCCAAGGTGGGAGGATCACTTGAGGCCAGGATTTTGAAACTAGCCTGGGCAACATAGCAAGACCTCATGTCTTATTTAAAAAAAAAAAAAGAAAAAAGGAGGACCTAAGATTTTACCCTGCATACAAGCTAACAAATAAGCCTGCCATAGTTCCGTGGACACCGGCAGAAGACATGAGACTCCTGGGTCAGAAACAAAGGTCTCTAGACACAGCACAGCATGAGCTCCATCTGCATCAGTTCCCTCTTGGCCCTCCAGTCCCACAGGGGAGACACAGAGTGGCTGAGTTTGTGTTACAACTGAGGAACACTGAACTTAGGAAACCTCACCTTTTACAATGGGCTGCGAGTAAGTCTGCTCAATCCTTAACCCAGGGGAGACATTATTTATACCAGGTAGTAAACAAAACTGCTCTCTGTATCTATCTTTGAGAGGGTGTTCACTACAAAAGCTGGCACTATCTCTGGCTACAAGATGGGCAATGACACGAGGGACCCAGAGAAACCCAAGGCGAAGCATCTCCCAACACCCAGCTGAGCCATCACCAACAAATACGACGGTTGCTTCTTAAGCCATTCAACTGGAAGTAGTGTATTGTGGTCCAACGGGTGACACAGATGATTGTCATAAAACATAAACGTGAAGGAGGAAGTCCCGAAGACATTCATGAAGAAAAACAAGTCACGACAAAGGAGTGCAAATGAGAATGACATGGGACTTCGTGGCATACCACAAGACAGTGGGCTGTACCTTCAAAATCTGAGGACGACATTCTGCCCAGAGTCTTACTTAAGCCAAACAACCCCCTCCCCAGTCAAGTCCAAGCGTAGAAAAAACTTGTTCTCAGATGTGCAAACACTAAAAGTTTTTCCTTCTGTGCATTCTAGAGTATGTGCTTCAATAAAATGAGTAAGTAAACCAAGAGAAACAAAAACGTGGTATCCAAGGAACAGACTATCCAACACAGAAGTAAAGTCCCCAGCTGACTCCTGTTTTCCAGAACTATAGAACTGCCAGCTAGACTGGAACAGGAAGACGAAGATGGCTAATGCAAGCCGTCCAGGAGAGAAAGATGGAAATGATGGATTTGGAAACACACTTGAGGGTTTAGAAAAAGTGCAAATTGGCCTAGGTTTGGTCTATTGCAACATTTGCAAAATATTAGTGACAGATACATAGAAAATAAAGGCAAAATTTAAAATATGTTTATTAGCTCCAGGGAAAGAAAAGTTATTTGAAGAAAAGGTGATCACAGTACACAATGTGGTTCAGTAGTTAACAGTAATGACAACATTGTAAACGACATTAACAGTCACTGACTATTGATTTCACCAACAGTTGTCACAAAGATAAAGAGGGTGTGAGGGAGCTAAATCCCCTAACACCATACCAGAGAAGCAGGAGACAATACTGAAAGTGGAGATGAGTTAAGAAATAATAGCAGCGGGGCTCAGTGGCTCAGCCTGTCATCCCAGCACTTTGGGAGGCCGAAGTGAGTGGACTGCCTGAGCCTTTGGGTTCGAGACAAGCCCAGGCAACTTGGTGAGATCTCGTCTCCACAATCAATAAAAAAAAAAATTAGCTGGGCATGGTAGTGCGCGCCTGTAGTTTCGGCTACTTGGAAGGCTGAGGCAGAAGGATCACCTGAGCCCAGCAGGCTGACACTGGGGTGGCCGTGAGCGTGCCACTGCACTCCAGCCCGGGCGATGGAGTGAGACTCCAATACACAAAAAAGAAAAGAAATAATAGCGTAAGTCTACTAAGAAATATGAAGTTGAGGCAAGTGAGCCCATTCCCTTTACCGAGGGCGCACCATGTGCCGTGCCAAGTGTTCTGAGCATCAGCAGGTCCCTGGAAAGGCACACCAGACCCTTCTCTGTAAGCCAATCAATCTGTCATGAGTCTGGTTCACGTGAGTCAGTTCCCCAAATTTTGATCAGCTCTTTGAAATCCTGAAGGTTTCCAGATCCACAAAGCTGAGACACAGACACGGTAGTATCTGTGGTGGTTGACACTAGCACACAGTCAGACTGTGAGCCCCTGCCCAAGCAGCTGGCCTGTTTCTCCTCCATCTCTTTTTAAATGCCATATCCAATTTTTAAATTCAACACTGTCTTTAACATGGTTTGCCTAATCTTACAATATAAAAGGCACCCAACAAACCTGAAAATGTATTTCATTACTAAATATCACTTGTGATTTTTGTTGGTATAAAAAATACATTTAGGCCAGGCGCGGTGGCTCATACCCATAATCCCAGTCCTTTGGGAGGCTGAGATGAGAGGATTGCCTGAGCCCATGAGTTTGAGACCAGCCTAGGCAACTTGACGAGACCTCATCTCTACAATAAATGAAAACAAAATTAGCTGGGTGTGGTGGTGCGGGCCTGTAGCCCATTTACTTAGAAGGCTGAGGTGGAAGGATCACCGGAGCCCAGTAGGTCGAGGCTGCGGTAGCCATGAGCATGCCACTGCACTCAGCCTGGGTAAAAGAGTGAGACTTTGACTCAAAAAAAAATACACTTAAAAGAATATACTTGTAATCTGTGTTTTCATATTCTTCAGAACTTTATTGCAATGCCTGAGAAGTATGACATGTATTTTTCCATTGTAAAAGATGATGACATATATACATTTGCAAATTTATTAGACTTGGGGTTTTTTGTTTGTTTGTTTGTTTTTTGAGACAGAGTCTCAATCTGTCACCCAGGCTGGAGTGCAGTGGCACAATCACAGCTCACTGTAACCTCGACCTTCTGGGCTCAGGTGATCTTTCCTGCTCAACCTCCCAAGTAGTTGGAACTATATTGAGTGGGCCACCATGCCTGGCTAATTTTTTGTAGAGACAAGGTCCCACCACATTGTATAGGTTGGTCTTGATCTCGTAGGCTCAAACAGTCCTCCTATCTCGGCCTCCCAAAGTATTAGGATTAAAGGCGTGAGCCACCGCATCTAGTCTCATTAGACTTGGCTTTCCAAGGTGACCCTCTAAATGCTAAGAACTGAACTAATAAGAGTATGATGTTAATACTTAGAGTTTTAGATATTCTGTGTTACACCTTGAACAGAGCTAGTACGTACAAGCGCTGGCTTTGGAGGCAGACATGGTTTAAGCAACTCAGTTCTGCCACTTTTGCCCTGATTTCTGCATCAGTATCTCATCTATAATCAGGAAAACAGCACAGCTCTACAGAATCGTGAAGAACCAAAGTCTGAATGCACCTAACATGCACTGTATAATTGGTATTCATGTTTGAGCATCCCTTATCTGAAATGCTTGGAACAGAACTGTTTCGGGTTTTGGATTTTCTTTGGATTTTGGAATATTTGCATATTCATAATAAGCTGTCTTGGGGATGGAACTCAAACCTAAACACAAAATTCATTTATGTTTCATATATAACTTGTACACATGGGCCAAAGGTAACTTTACATAATATTTATAATAATTTTCTACATGAGACAAGGCTTGTACACACTGAACCATCAAAAAGCAATGATGTCACTATCTCAGCCAACCATGCGGACAGATTCTGGATTCTACGGTGTCCAACTATGCTCAGCCTGTATCACTCTTCCACCTTAAAGCAGACAAGGTCAGGCAGGGACTCGGGACCAAATGAGATAAGAACTAGTGCCTGGAAGAGAGGTACCATCTGAGTCAGACCCAACCCGTGGGCCCCAGGCAAGACTCACCTCACTATAAACCCGTTCCCAGTGAGCCCAGCTTACAGTGATTACTTAACCCCAAAAAACTGCTCATCAAAATACTTGATATTCTTATTCAAAAACATGTCCACAACACAACATATATCTCTTTATTTATGACGACTTGGCTACAAACTTGGACTCCTCATGTAGATTGTCCCGGCATCTTGTTATTCGTAGTGGCAAGTTCCCAGCTCAGTGCAGGAGCCCAACAAACGTTCAGGACACATTCATCGCTGTCTACACCAGAAAGTACATGACCAGCCTCCTTTCCCATAGCCACTAGAGGCAAGGCCCCTCCAGTCAAGCAGTCCTTCTCATTGAACCCAGACGCGGGCTCAGGACCCTCTGTAGCACTCCAGGAAACCATCACCACTAGATCCGAGTTGGCAAGCAAGGTAAACCAGGCAGCATCCCTAGTCTATTCTATTTCCCTGACTCAAGAGTGAAATAACCATATTCATTCACTCACTCGTTTAACAAACATGTACTGAACCCAGACACTGCTAACTTATAAACGAAAACAAGACACTGTATAAAGCATAGTGTGGAGGGTGAGGCACGTGCTGCATATGGAAGTAATGAGATGAGGCAGGAAGAATTAGGGACCTGGCAGACCCTGTGGCTGTTTCTCACTT